CCATACGTGTAACACTTGGGCACACGCATAGATGAGAACGCAGAAAGTATGGGGAGGGGAGAAACGGGAGATTAGTGTATTAGAAGCTGAAAATCCTGATCTAAAAAAACATAATTAACATACATAAATACATTAAAACATTTTAATAAAAAATCATCTAAACGGGCTAAGATTCTACAAGTCATTTGGATTTGACTTTTTAATTATGCAAGAATAGTTAAATTTAATTTTTTAATATTTAAGAATTTTAAAAAAGACAACTAAATATATATAAACAACCTCGGATGACTCCTTTCATTAAGTTAGCTGTTCTAATAAAAGAACTGGGCTTTGAGCCACCACTTAACTGCTAGAATCTATCCGTCGCGAATGAGTTTGTCTTTTTGCTCATTTATTTATAATATCGATATATTAAAATTAATCGCGATTAGATAAACTAAGTACGAAGCAATGCATGTAAGACATTTATTACACGTTTTTCTGGATTAAAACGAGTAAATTAATGTTCGGTTTCACCACTATTAACCACGAACAAAACACGTAATAAAAAATGAAGTGCATTAATTAATTGCACTATTAATTAAATGAACTTAACCGATGAGACAAGAAAACCTATCCTGAACTAATATAAAATATACAATACAATATACAATTTTCATGAGTAACTCCTACAAAGGAATTACTCATGTGCTCGTCACTAATTTATTAGAATAATTACAACCAGTAACTCGTGCCRATTAGGACCTTTCATCCTCGACATGATTAAGCACCGGAGGGACTTTAAATTATTTGACTCACTCCGTAAGAAGTTCTACGATGGCTCCAAAACACTCCTACTTCGTAGCAAGTATAGCAGTCTAACGATCCATCGAAGATCCATCGAAGATCCATCGATGATCCATCGAAGAATTCATCCTACATCTTTGATAAGGTAGAAAGTCCGTCGTCTTATCTGTAAAATAGAATAGAACAAAATGATAAGTTATATATAATATGATCCAAAATCGTATCATCAAAAACGAATAAAATGTTAATAAAAATGAATACTTACAATGCATTTCAATGGGATGAAACTCAATTGCATCATGGCGATGCACCTCGCGTGAATCTAATGACGCGGTATAAACGAAAATAAGAAACTATAGATGAGTTTCTTATCGCGAAACCGAACTTAAATTATACGGCGAGCAACACTGAATCTAATTCGCGTTTGATTTTAATTTGTATTACGCCCGTTCACTGACTCTACAACTAATTCGAAGACTGCTTTGCACACAGTCTATTGAAACAAACAAATTTCACACTTTATTTTAATCCCGAAACGCGTTGAATTTAAAATCTTCATTGATGCACTGATTCTAATACGCGAACAGTCTGTGCGATTGTTTAAAGATAAAAATACAACTTTACTCGAACAAACTCTAATGCAATTACACTGCATTG